TCGGCTCGGGAACTTGCATACGAAATGGGAAGGTCATGAAATGAGCACTCCCGCTCGCCCGATCAAAGGATCAGCCTCTACTAAATATGATATGTTGTTTTATAAACCTCATGTGTTCTTATTCCGGTTATTAGGTAACTTTACTATGTGACGCACACAAGCAAGTATAGACTGAATTGCAAGAATTGGAACATTTCAAGTCATGTTTTGTTTTCAAAAATGGTTTGAAGTTTCCACCCTCAAGTGAGCTAAAATGCGGATTTGTCACCCTTAAGTGGGCTTAAAACATGATTTGCCACTTCGCAAAGTGGGCTTAAAACTCACATTTATCGAATTGTTCCAATTCAAGAAACCAAGCCTTCATCTACAGGCATTCATGAAGTTAATCTTTTAAGCACATAGCCTCATGGCAAGTATGCTATCATGGCAACACTCACACTGATGCAAGTATGCTAAAGTGTAAAACTTACAGTGTACTCCAGGCCAAAACAAAAACTAGTTAGAAATATGCATGATCCTAACTATGTTAAGTGCCTATTGCAACACATGCAATAATGCAACTAAATAGGCTTGGCTACTAAGATAGCATATGAATGCAACAATTTGATAACATGCTTTGAAACACGTATTCAAAGAAGTGTATTGAAATTGCAATGCAGTTTGAATGATGCGCCAAGCCTCGGTGCATGCAAGACAAATAAATGATGCAAACATGCAAGCATAAGGTATGCTAATCGAAACATGATCCCTAATCTAACCATTGAAAGCAGATAAATAAAAGGGAGAAAGAAGTGGGGTTAGAAGACATGCACACACACACGCATGCGTATTACAACATTACGCCCTCGCGAAGGAGGGTCTGAATGAATAAGCTAAGCTAATTATTACAAAACGAACTAATTAACTAGTCTAAGCTAATTAATTACAAACCGAATTGAGTAACTAGCTATGCTAAGCTAATTAGGATATTACAAAATGGATTAAACTAATTAATTACAACACGTGTATTAATTAGCTACAACTAACTAATAAAGCAATTAAGTGGCCTCGCGGGTGAGGGAGACATGCATGCTCGGTTGGCTTCCTCCCAAAAATCCATCGCCTTGCCATCGGTTGCCTCTGTTTGCACTCACCTTGATCTCTGAACATTGTACCAATTTCCAAATTGCCTCTACTCCAAAACAGGAGCACTTTTGCACAAAAATTGATTGGTGGCCGGTCGGCTACAGAAGATGGCTATCGGCCACTTTAACTGGCCGGTCGGCTAGTTTAAGTGGCCGGTCGGCTACTTCAAGTGGCTGGTCGGCCACTACTTTTTCCAAACTTCTGTTTTTACTGCAACAGAGAGCAACAGAAGCAAAGCAATGCATTTTTCAAGGAATGTGATACTGCCACACTCCTTATCATTTCTCAAGCTCAAAGGAGTATGGCACTTGGCTCTCAAGCCATCAACCAAGTATTTTCAATGCATGATGGCCAAAGAGTCAAGCTTGTACTAGGTCAATGAATGCACAAATAAGACTCGAAGGACCACCATCCTATCACGCATGACCAAGGGTGTCGGTGACCAAGAAAAGTGGCACGTTTCATCACTTTAAGTATGAAATGTCCCATTTTCCTTGTGCTTGGATTAATGTTCAATCCAAACACATGCAATGCAACACAAATGCTTATCTTGTTCATGTTTTACTTTGTTCATTTTGTTTACACATTTTACATTATCGATTAAGTCCAATGTGAAAGTCCTCTAATTGGAAAGATGGCCTAAGCCACAAGTGCCTTGAGCATGAAAGAGGCCTCATGCTGTTGGTTAGGAGGAACCCTCAAGAGAAGGTTAAAACCATTAGGCATGAGAGCCTCAAGTTCACACTCAAGCCAACAAGGGGCTCAAGACCACTTTCAAAGCAAATTAAAAAGTGAAGAATAGAGGGAGGTTGTAGACTTTTCAGTGCTGAAATGGCATGAAAAATGGCACTAAATCATGTAAGCAACATATGCACATGTTCAAAAGCCAAAAGCATTAAACTAGTGAAGAGCACTACACTAGAGGCATGCAATATCAAGCTCAAATGACCAAACCAGCTCAAAACAAAGCTAAAACATGCCAAAACAATAGCTAAAACATGCTGAGATTGAAGCATAGAAGGCAAGAAAAACATGCTTATTTGTTAGCTCGCAAGCAAGACTCAAGACACAACTCTCAAAAGCAATGAAAGAGTGAAATAAGTGAGAGTGTGACACAGCTATATGCACTGAAATCATATGTTAAATGATGCTATAACATGAAATCAACACATGCACAACATGTTAGAGGCCTTAAAACACTAAGCTAGTGAAGACCATTACACTATAACCATACAACACAAGCGTCGAAGGACTTAACCAGCCCAAAACAGAGTTAAAGTAGGCTAAAATAGTAGCTAAAACAACTTGAAGTTAAGCTAACACAAGCTACAAAAATAGGCTAAACCATTAAGCATGCTAGACTAGTGAGCACAATTGCACTACAAGTACAAAAAACAAGCAACAAGTGCTCCAACCAACCCAAAACAGAGTTGAAACATGCCAAAATAGAGCTTAAAACATGCTTGAATTAAACTAAATTAAGCTAGAAAAACATGCTACTATGTAATGCTAACTAGGCATGCAAGTGAGACACAAGGAGGGGAGGCCAACCCCTCCATTTTAGGAATTCAAAACATGTTTTTACCACTAAAAAACCTCTGAGTTTCAGTGGTTAAAAGGCCAAAAGAGTTGGTTTGAAAGGTGATGAAAGACGCCACAAAAAGTTTCACAAGCCAAAGAGCCAAAAGGGGGGACAACCCTCTAACTCACAAAGGCTCAAACCACAATTTTTAAGACTGAAAAACAGAGGTTTTTATAGTTGAAAACCAGGCCAAAAATAGCACAAAAAATGGTAAAACAAAGTTATGCAAAACAAGTTTAAAAGGTGAGTCTTATATCTCTTAAAGCTCAGCACAAAACAGGCACTTTCTTAGGCTCAAACAACCTTTCAACAGCCCAAAATAGGTTTTAAGGGACCTCAGCCCAAAGATATGCAACTTTGATCAAGGATGTTTAGGCAAAGGAAAAGTATATCTCTACTTCTATGCATAAAAGGGCAAGAGAGAGATAGAAATCTAGAGAGAGAGAGAGATTTTAGAGAGAGAGGCTCCCAAACTTTTTAACCTTGCAATATGAGAGATATGGCCTCTATATATAGAAAAATACAAGCCTTGGTCGAAAATATCTGATTTAGAGACAGCTGGAGCAGTGTGATACAGCTGGAGAAGAAATATCTGCAAAAAGTCTGAGTTTGGGACATTAGTGGCCGACTGGCCATTATTGGTGGCCAACCGGACACATCCGTGGCCGACCGTACACATTTGTGGCCAACCAGCCACCAATGGTGGCTGACCGTACACACTTGTGGCCGACAACAAAAATCTACTTTCCAGGACCAACTTCAAACGAGCATATCTCCTTCATATGGACTCCCTTTCAGGTCATTCTTGTGCCTAAATTGAAGCCCCAGAAGTCTTCTTTCCAACGGTGGTAACCTCACATCAAAATGCCACGTGTGAAAAAAGATATGCCTCTTTTAATGAAGGTTTCTCATTTCCAGCTCAATCGGATTGATACCCAACTTTAACCAGCCATATCTCCCTCATCCGGACTCGGCTTTAGGAGATTCTTGAGTGCAAAATGAAGCCCCGGAAGTCTTATTTCCAGCAGTGGTGACTGAATAGCTAAAATCCAAGTATACAAAAGAATAGGCCTGATTTAGCGAGGGTGCCCGTCGCTCTCTTAACGATTCATGCCCAACTTCTTCTCTAACTTGGTTTCTTCCCTCCTCTTCTCTCTTCTTCAACCCCAAACCCCTAAATAGGGGTGAAAGTTTAACCGACACAACCGAACAGACCGACAAAACCGGCCGAAAAAAACAATTCTCGGTCTATTTAATCCCTTAGAACAGTCGGTGCGGTTTGAATTTTATTAAAAAATTTTGACTCAGTTCGGTTGCGGTTTTCTTATATGAGAGACCGAAACCCACCGAATCGGACCATTTGTTATTTTACATCCCAACCATCCACACATATCCTAGAAGTAATCTGAGTCGTCCACACATGTAACATATATATCGCCCTCAATCATCACTCACACAGCAACTAAACCCCTTATTGCTCCTCTCTCTCTCTCTCTCCAATAGCTTTTTGTAATCACCATCAAAGTCCATAAAGCTTTGGCTCATCGATGTCTTCGATTTACCCCTCTCATCCAGATCTAGCATCTAGTAATCCATGTATATGCTGCATAACAGAGATCCTCATCTTCCTTACCAGATCTGGAAAGTGAATTGAATATCTTCCATGGGTGGTGATTTCTCTCTACTTCTATTACTCCACATCTTTCCGTAGAGCTTTTATTGTTCTGTTTCAAAATTCTATGATTTTGAGTTCTCATCCTTCTCTTCTGCCATGGAAAGTGACCTTTTGGGTCTTCAAATATTTTCTTCTCTCTGTTTGGTTTATGAGAAAATCAAGAAAAATAGAGTAAAATAAATATTTACACCATCTTCGAATAAACCGAACTGAAACCGACCGTACCGATATAGAACGGTTTGGGACGGTTGAAAGCTTTACTTGGTCGGTGTCGGTGCACCCATATACAAAACCGAAGGGTTCGGTTCGGCGATATTTTTGCTCAATAACCGACCGAACCGAACCGATTTAACCACTACCCCTAAATAAGGTGTTTTAAAGATTTTTTCAAAGAGTTCACCTCTCTTTCATTCATTTCCACTTTGTTCTTGCTCAGTTTACCGAAAAGCGCAACATTTAACGAAATGTGAGCCTTGGAACATCGTAGAAACTTTTTTTCAAAAATGTTTTGAAAGAGAGGGTTTTAAGGTCTAAAATCATTATGGTCAAAATCATTTTGGTTCGAAAATGGGGTGTGAGGTTGGGATTTGACGCTCTCCTTGCCAAACAAATCAAACCTTTGCACTGCACACCTTTCATCACCAAGTAAGCAATCAGTGACGCCCAAGTCTTAAGGGCGATAAAAAATGGGGTGTTTACAATTGGTCATTGATCTTGACTCTTGATGAAGTGCTAGTGGTGTATGGAAACATCACATATTATATGTGAACACTTCGATTTTTTGGTCTGTGATCTTTTGAGGTTTGTCTAGTGGTTCAGAATGGTTTTAGGATTCATTGCCAGAGCAATAACCATATCAATTTTAGTTATTTGGATCTCAAATGCTCTGTATACTTCATTCTTAATTGTCATGCTTTGCCTTTTCCCATAAATGTTAATTCACATTTAGCATTCAACTATTTATTTAATTTGGTTCACCTTTTGCCACACTTGTGTACAGATTCATCTAGAATTACAAGTCTATGGATCGTTATTTTTTATGAAGATGGGAGGCGGAAGGAAAGATAAAATGACAGTAGAACAGTCTATTGTTAGAGGTTCCCTTCATGGTGGTTCACTTCAGATAAATAGGAATATTGATCATGTTAACTCATATTTAGAGTTAACAGAAGTTCATCATTTGGTAGTAGCTACAAGGAAGCTTGTAACTAGGGCTTAACAGGGTTATATAATCTTGGAACACTTGTTTCATGAACAGTGCCATTCAGTGTTTGGTGCATACTCCAAAGCTTGTTGATTATTTTCTTGGAGACTATAGAAAGGACATAACTATTGAAAATCCCTTGGGCATGAATGCACGTATATTTGGAATCCAACAATTAGCTATTTGTACTTTTGAAAGAGCTTGTTTTGGCATTTTGCCCTCTTGTTATGTGTTTTGTTGGCAGCCTCTTAAATGTGTCATTGTCTCTCTCTCTCTCTCAATGTGCACTTTTTGGCCAAGGCAAACTTGCTTTACAATTTGGAGATTTGTTAAGGAAGCTATGGGCTCCAGGAGCAACACCAGTAGCTCCAAGAGCGTTTAAATTGAAACTTTCTGCTTTTGCACCTCAATGTAGTGGCTATAACCAGCATAATTCCCAAGTTAGTGAACTTTCCTTGCTTTTAGAAGTTTAGTATCTATTATTGTTTCTTTCTGTCTTTTGGAGGCAAAATACTTCTTATAATTTGTTGTTTTTAACATAGGAATTTCTTGCTTTTTTGTTGGATGGGCTCCATGAAGATCTCAATCGTGTGAAATACAAACCTTACATAGAAGCAAAGGAAGTAGAAGATCGGCCTGATGAAGAAGTGGCAAATGAACACTGGCAGAATCATCTAGCTCGTAGTGACTCCGTCATAGTTGATGTGTGCCAAGTGAGTCTTCTGTGATTTGGACTTTTCTACCATGATTGAATTCATTTTAATATGTACTTGTTTTATGATTTGAGATTGGAGCACTATTTGGATTAGTTTTCTTTGCTTCAAACTTTGGTGCTTCGGTAGCATATTCTGTAAATTTGCTTGGCCTTTTCAACTAAGTTAAAGTCTCTCTTCTTCTTCTTCTTCTTTTTTTACTATAGGGTCAATACCATTCAAAATTGGTTTGTCCAGCTTGCAAGAAATTGTCCATTACATTTGATCCATTCATGTATCTTTTGTTACCACTACCTTCAACAACAATGGGCACGATGACTTTGACAGTCATGAGCACTGATGGGAGTACTTTGCCATTTTCAGTCACTGTAACTGTGCCAAAGTATGGAAGATGTAAGGATCTAGTGCAGGCCTTAAGCACCATATGTTCTTTGAGAGATGATGAAAAACTGTTGGTAGTTGAGGTATGTTTTTTAGCAATGTGGTCAATAATTAATATTTAATGTAAGCGTGAACTCTTATTTTTTCTCTACATATGCGCGACACACAACTTGCATCAAGGTCTCACTGAAAATGATGGGGTTTCAAGCACCATATTGTCATGTCACACTTGCATGATGGTGTAGCGTGTTGGACTTCAAGCACTGTAATTGGTCATGTTAGAAATGGGCGCCCATGTGGCATGACCCTTTTCAGCCTTTTGAACTTTATCCAAATGGGTTTTGAATTTGAATTCAAACCTATTTGGATAACCACTCAGGATATATATCTATCATATCTTGATATGGATAGATGATATAGATATCAGATATTATCTCATATAACTAATATGGATAAATGAGATAAATAGAATATATATCTGATATATGAGATATGGGTGATTAAGAGAAAAATAACGTACATTTGTTTTTTTCCCATATACTGACTCTCTCCCAAAAAACAACGATCAAAGCCATTTGCACTGTAGTTTGTGTGGGTGATATTCACTATTGTAATATCACCCTATTGCTGGGTTGATTGACTAGATTCAGGAAGCACGTGATTTACTCACGAGATCCTTCAATTCAGACTTTGTTTGAAAGGTATGACCATAATTTTTATTCCGCTGCGTTATACTTTGTTTACATTGGTATCAGAGCTTTAATGAATATTTTCGTGTTTCCTTTAATCATGTGTATATTTTTATATGTATATGTATACATTATATACATAAATGTTTGTAAAGGAGAAAAAAATCTACTTTTATTAGATTAAGAGCATAAATATTTTTTTTATGTTCATTAATGTCTTTTTTTAATACCATAAATGGTTTTATTTTGAAAAAAGGAGTCTGGCAGTACAAAAATCGGACCAGAAAACACCCTGGAAGGTGGCGCGTGGTCTGCACGCGCAACCTGACACCGTGAGCTGCTCCCACGCGCTCCCACACGCCAGATGCCCTGCCGACGCACCTGCACGCGCCCTTACGCGCGCGTCAGCGGCGCTGTCCATGCGCGCGCCCTCCGCGCCACCATATTTAGAGTTAACAGAAGTTCATCATTTGGTAGTAGCTACAAGGAAGCTTGTAACTAGGGCTTAACAGGGTTATATAATCTTGGAACACTTGTTTCATGAACAGTGCCATTCAGTGTTTGGTGCATACTCCAAAGCTTGTTGATTATTTTCTTGGAGACTATAGAAAGGACATAACTATTGAAAATCCCTTGGGCATGAATGCACGTATATTTGGAATCCAACAATTAGCTATTTGTACTTTTGAAAGAGCTTGTTTTGGCATTTTGCCCTCTTGTTATGTGTTTTGTTGGCAGCCTCTTAAATGTGTCATTGTCTCTCTCTCTCTCTCAATGTGCACTTTTTGGCCAAGGCAAACTTGCTTTAATTAATTTTTCTACATTCTGTAAAATTTTGAAAATTTTACGAAAATATAAAATATTTTTTTTGTGTTAATAATTCATGTTTTATGCTTTAAAACGCTTCTGGTATTGCATAAACAATTTTCTGGGGTTGAAATTTTTATTGTGGACTTCTGAAAGGTTTTACTATTTACTGGTAATATTGTCTCAGTTTATCAGTTTCTGGATTTTTTATTTCTAATTTTATGTGTATTTATTAGTTATTTAAAATTCCAAAATATTTCAGAAAAATTCCAGAAAATTTCAGAATAATGTACATTTTAGTTATGGCATAATCTAAATATTGTTTCTGTTTATCAGTTTCTGAATTTTTCATTTCTAATTTTATGTGCGTTTATTAATTATTTAAAATTCCAGAAAATTTCAAAAAATTCCAAAAAATTTCAAAATGATGTACACTTTAATTATGGCATAATCTAAATATTGAATACAGCATATTTTTTGGGTTTGTAATATGTTGCAATTAAAGAAGCATGATTATTTATTTATTTATTTATTTGAATTCCATTATTAAATAAATATAGCATGAGTTGTTTGTAAATTTACATTGAGATGCTATTGTATGGAATTTATCATGCTTTGTATATGCCATAAGTAGTGGGAGATTGTTTGATTGTTTTTTGCGCATGGAATTAAATTAAAATTTGATAATTATCACTAGAGGAGCAAGAGATGATTACGAGCATAGCAAATTTTCGATCTTGAGACATGTGTAAAATTATCATTATTTAATTTAGATTATTTTTGCTGCAAAATATTTTGTTTTGTGTTGCTATCATTAATATCCCTTGCGCATTTGTTTACTCTGTATGTAGAAATGGCTGCTAAGACAGTGGTGGCAAACTTAACTAAGGGAGAGAAATTAGATGACGACAATTATGATATATGGCGCCGTAAGATCCAATACCTCCTCAATGAGCAAGAAGTGTTGACCACACTTGAACAAGTGATGGTTGAGCTAAAGCAGGGCAATACAGCTCAACATCGTCGTGATCTTGAAGACTTTCAGACTTGGCGTAACAAAGATCGGTGTGCGCGCTTTACTATGTTGAGTAGCATGCACAACGACTTGATTAGTGAGTTTGAGCATTGCCCGACTGCATTTGAGATGTGGGAAGCTCTCAAGCAAAAGTTTGGTATTACCTCTTTGGCAAAGCTACGTGGGCTGACTATGAAGTTTGACTCATATCAGAAAAGGGCGCATCACTCGATGAAGCAGCATTTGAGAGTCATGTCAGCCATGATACGTGAGCTTGTGGCTGCTGGGCACAATTTGACTCAAGAGCAGCAAGTACAAGCTATGATACGCTCTCTGCCAAATTCTTGGGAGCAGATGAAGTAGAACATGATGCATAATGAGAGTGTGAAAACATTCGATGACATATCGCGCCATTTGGAGCTAGAGGCTGAGCGCCTTAAGGCGGCTAAGTCTGATGGTTCTGCTATGGTGGTTGAGTCAAGCTCACGTAGGACTTCTCAGTTCAAACGTGGAAAACGAAAAGGTGCCCCTAAGAAGCAAGCAGCAGCTGTGCTTAAGCCCAATGGCGCTAGAAATTTCAAGCGTAGGGGCAAGAGAAGTGATAAGAAGACAAAGGCTAAATTGACATGCTTTAACTGTAACAAAGAAGGACACTTTTCTCGGGATTGCCCTGAGCAGAAGAAGGTACTCCCTTACTTAATTTCTCGCATTCAATGCTTTGTGTCTAGTCAAGCATTAATTGCTCATTCTCCTCATTTTTGGGTTGTACACTCCGGAGCAACAGACCACAACGTGAGGGACAGAGTAGGGTTCGTTAAGTATCGCCGAGTACCTGTTGGAAGCAAAAAGTTTGCATGGGGAACGAGTCCAGTGTGGAGGTGCTTGGCATTGGCACATTCAAGCTGGAAATGCGACGAGGGCGCACCTTGTATCTTCATGATGTTCTTTATGCTCCGGATATTCGGCGAAACTTAGTTTCAGTTATTAGCATGATGAGCCTTGGTTTTAGCTTTTGTTTTGAGAATAATGGTGTTAGCATTTATTTGGGAACAATTTTTTATGGTTTTGGTTATCTTTCAGATGGTTTTTTAGTTTTGGATGTGGATGATTCTAGTATTAATAAAAATGCCAATGGCTCTATTTCTAATATTGCATCTTTTTGTGATAATGATTCTATGAGATGGCATGCTAGATTAGGCCACATAGGGCAAGACAGGATGACTAGATTGGCTAGAGAAGGTCTTTTAGGCCCACTCGCCAGAGTCACTTTGCCTACTTGTGAGCACTGTCTTGCTGGAAAGGCAACAAGAAAACCATTTGGGAAAGCCATAAGGGCATCTATCCCATTGCAACTTATTCATTCTGATATATGTGGACAATGAATGTGAGGGCAAGGCATGGAGCCCCCTATTTCATCACATTTATAGATGATTGCACACGTTTTGGTCATGTCTATCTGATTTCTCACAAGTCAGAAGCATTGGATTGCTTTAGACGGTATGTTAATGAGGTTGAGAATCAATTAGACAAGAGCATTAAAGCTCTAAGGACTGACCGAGGACGTGAGTATCTATCTGAGAAATTTAAAGTGCTCTGTGAGGAAAAAAGGAGTTATCAGGCAATCGACAATTCCTAGGACTCCGCAACAAAATGGTGTAGCGGAGAGAAATGATTAATTATTTATTTGAATTCCATCATTAAATAAATATAGCATGAGTTGTTTGCAAATTTATATTGAGATGCTATTGTTTATGTGTATTCAGTTGAACTCATTTTTTGGGGATATTCATATGAGATGTGGACTGGCAAAAAGCCTGATTTGGGCAATTTGCGGCCTTGGGGTTCGGCAGCTTACATACACAACGCTTCTTATAAGTTTGGGAAGTTAGGCCCTAAAGGAAAGAAGTGTATCTTCATTCGCTATAGTGAGCATTCTAAGGGCTATGTGTTTGTTGGGGAGCATCCGGATGGAAGTGTGACTGAAATTGAGTCACGAGATGTGGATTTCCTAGAGGAGGATTTCCCTAGCAGAGGTGAGGTAACTAGAGAAGTAGAACTTTATGTGCTGGAGGATCTACTTGAAGGCGCACCTAGTAGCCTAGTAGAGAATGAGGAAATAATTCCTCAAGCTCCTAGGGACAGTGGGAACGATCTACCTGCCCATGGATTAGATCCAATGGATATGGATTCTCAGGATTCTCAACTACGTAGAAGCAAACGTGGAGCTATACCCCATCGTCGTTTTGAGATTGAAGGGGAAGCATTCATGATTGCTTCGAGTGATGAGATGGAGCCTAAGAATCTTAAAAAGGCTCTCTCATCCCCTGCTAGTAAAGAATGGAGTACTGCAATGGATGAAGAAATAGAGTCTATGAAGAAAAATCATGTCTGGAACTTGGTTGATTTGCCGCCAGGGCGCAAGACTATTGGGAACAAATGGGTTCTCAAAATCAAGCGCAAGGCGGATGGTTCCATAGAAAGGTATAAGGCTCGCCTAATGGCGAAAGGTTACACCCAACGAGAGGGTGTGGACTATGAGGAAACTTTTTCACCAATTGTAAGGTTTGCCTCT